CATCTGCAGTTTTTCTTCACAAATCTGTTATGTGTAGAGCTGGACAGAATTTTTTCAGGCATTATATATTTTATAATTATGCCATCTTGGTTACCCCTATATTATTTGTAAATTCAAGTCAAGTTTGCTAAAAAAGTAAAGCTTTTTTTCAGTGTTTGATTCATAAAGTTTGTGGGGTGGACAAAGGTTCAGCCCTATCCTCTGATGGCTTTTGAATCAAGATCACCCATCTTCATCATCATGTTGTAAGGTACACTAGGTACTCCTAGTTTTTCTCTCTCCTGCTATTCTACTCTGTATGAATTTAAATATTCATTGGAGGAGAGACTGGAATTCAGGTATTCCATTTTCCAGGTGACTACCCTAATTGCTAGCCTATAAAGTCATTCTCTGTGATAGTACAAGCCAATCTTTTTATCGAGTGTGTCACAAATTAGCCCTGTCTTCTCTCTGAGTGCTACTTTGATTCCTTCCCTCTGCCCAAGCTACAGCTCTGCTTTCTGCCCCCTACTATGTCCTCTCTGCCCAGTCTCCTCCTGTGATTAGCTTATGCAACTTGGTCTATATCTTTTGTAATGAAGGGACAAATAATAGATTTTTCTTGTTCTTCTTAAAATTAGCATCTTATTAGTTTTAGGAAAGTGTAGAATTTTTTTTAAAGAGTCTTAAGTCCTACCAGGCCCTGAATGAGACAGATTGTTTCATGTTATAGTGTTTAATGCACTGTATTCCAGTAATAAGAAGTTTTGATCTAAACAATACAGTACCCTCGTATCTACTACATAAATATTTCTAACAGTCAAATGCAAGAAGAAGAATATGAAAAAAATATTTAAAATGTATGAGAATATTTTGGGAGAAAGTAGTTATGAAAAATACTATAGTGTTCATGAGTTGTGTGTATGGAAGTGTTATGTCCTTACATGACTTTTGATTTCAGTCATTTTCATCCAAATTTTAAGTCAGGTCCAAGAGTCCTTCTTAATTTTTACTCCATGGCTTCAATGGGAGTTTAGCTTTAGTAAGGATTGCAGTATTTGATATTGTTTTGGTTATATGCTTCCTGTAAGTTTTAGCAGTCCCATGTAAACATAACTTTCAACTGCCATATTTTTAATAAGATATAACTATTTACACAAACTGATTTTAAATGTACACTTGCTATAATGTATTAATATTTTAATTTGCCACCTTCAAAATCTTACTTAGAAAAGTAAGCTGGTAGATATGTACATATTAGCAACCCCTCTATCAATTAAACTAACATTTTTATTTAGCCCAGAATGTTGTTTTTTTAGTAACAGGATGAAAGGCTTATTAATAATCATCCACCATATCATAGTGAGTAAATATTGTAATGGACTGACCTCCAATCGTCTATGGAATTTACTGCTTTTTCTTTGCCATTCACATAGCAAGGACATGAAAATAGGCTGGTTTTATTGTTGGGTTTTTTTAATTTAGAATATTAAAGACCATTTAGAAAGTCCTGGAGGAGAACAGAAGGAGAGACAAAGATGAATGTTAAAAACAAATAAGCCCCAATATATCAGGCATGAAATAGGCTAGAAATGTATAACATGGGAAACATGCTGAATGCAACAGGCAATAAATGAGAAAACAGCAGTTTGTTTGGGATTAAACATAAGGAATAAGTGAAAACAGCTGCTTTTTATTTCTGAGTATCAAAAACTGTTAAGAGACTTGAGCCCTAAAATAAAGTTTAAAAGAAAATTAGTCTTACAAAGTCAGAAAGTCATCCAAAACAAAGTATTTCCTAAAAATGTAGGGCCCAATTCACATTGTTTTGCTAGTGGAACCAAGGCTATGGGCCAAGGGCAAGGAGGGTTGCCACCTAGAGCAAGGAGTGCAACAACATGCAGCATCTACAGGCACTGCTCCACACTGGTTGGGGACTGCCGGTGAAACCATGCTTCCCAAAATGTGCAGAAATGGAGCCAGGAAATCATATACTTTGCAGTGGGCTTCCTTGGCTGCCATTTCTGAAAAAGGCTCATTGAAGACTGGAGTTTAGACCGCCTTTAGTATAAGGAGGTCCCTGTAATTAATTGTGTCTGCTCCAATGTGCTGTAATTACAGTGCATTGGAGCAGCCTCCCTGTACATGTATAGGAGCCTGAAAAATCATGGACTGATGGTTTTACACGTTAATGATCAAAATGTAGGCTCAGGCTATATACATGTTCTCACTGAAATATGTTAAGTATTATATCCACATGGAATTTTGTGCAAAATCACCTACCTTTGTATAAGATGCCCATTATACTAGGTCTGTATTTGGTGTGTATTTACCAGTACTGTGTTTCCTCAGAACAATGTTGTACTCAATGTTTCTTTGCCACTTTTGTAAAATTCATAACAAAAATGGCCAAAATCCACTGGCATGCACTGAGGGTAGCACGCAAAAGTCAGTTAAAGGCTGGGTAAGCAAGGATTACAGCTGTTTTGTGTTGATGGACTATCTCAGTGTATCTGGCTCACAATCAGATTTCAGTATGAAACAACTATAAAAAAGGGGGAAAAAAACAAACTTTTGCCTGGAAAATCTCATAACACATTATAATTATATGCCATGAACGCTATTTTATTTCTCTCAGTATTATTTTCCAGTTCTTAATAATAACAAGTGGAATTATTTAAATACTCTGGCATTTTAAATTCTAACATGTGGCATGATCCAAGCTTCATGATAAGCATGAAGGCTAGCTTGGATTCGTGATGCTGCTTTTAACATGAATAGATCTATTTTTCTGATTCACCACATAGACATAGTATTTATCCTAGACACACTAATGAGAATTTGAAGTATGCACAATTAGGAGACCATATCAATAGTAGCTTGAGTTAATATCTAGTCACAATAAGGTTGATTTAAACCAACCTTAATTGTTTGTGTTGTAAGAGGTATGTGTTTTATAAAATATATATTGTTCATTTTATTGCTTGTAAGCAACATTCCCCAAGTTATTCCTACTTTTAGGACAAAAGTGAAATCAACATTATAGCAGGAGCTACTGGAATTAAAGTTCTCTTGGCATTTTCATTCTAGCATTGCTTATATGGTACTTTTGCCTATCAGATTAAAAAATTCCAGGCTTGGTCTCCCTTCAAAGGTAACTTGTTTAAAATTCAAGGCAAAGGAGTTGGCATTTTTTTAAGAATGAAGAGAGCATATATTAAAAACAAGAACCCTTTCTCTATTAGAAAGAAAAATACTTTGGTCCAAATCCCAGTATTAATTACTATTTTGTTCCAGATACAGTCCCTTTTGCCTAAATAGGACTACTCATAAAGTGTTTCTCAGGGTAAGGATAAATCTGACCATTAACTTGTAAAACCTCCCCCACTGCGAATGCTAAAATTTGATATGGTAATGGATAACCTCTTGTGAATCATGTGAGTGTCCTGACAACCTTTACTTTTTGTCTGACCAAGTCATCTACCTTTGGCATTTACATGTTACACAGTGCAACTTGTATGATTTAGTATAGGCTTTAGCAAGGTTTGGAATGAACATAAGTTATGCAATACATGTACATTTGACTTTCTGGCGCAGTGAAAAATTTAAGACCAAGTTCTGAAATCCTAACTATAAATAGTACTTTACTTTTTGTGTAGCCGTCACCTGGATCACTTGTTGAGTAAGGAGCTATCTAATGAGTTAAAGGTAACAGAGCAATACCCTGGGTTTAAGAGAATGATAGTCCTGTGGTTCAGTACTCAGAAGGATATAATAATGTTAAGTTTGCTTATGAAATTGTAATTGTTCCTGTTGGTGAATATGAATTATGATACAACTTTAATGACTTGACCATATACTATTACTCAGAAATAATATAATGCTTTTTTCTCTTCATATAAAAATATACCTGTATAATATCTGCAATAATATTGCTCTCTCTCGTACACTGATTGCACGTTAATTGTCATAATCCAGTATGTGTTAACTTGGACTTCCACATTTTGAGGTCTCTTCTGTTTAAGCTACATGTTACAAAAATCTAGGGCCAGATTGTGCCTGGCTTTAATATGAATTAGAAGTAAAGTATGGTGTCAGAAGACTCCCTTCCCCTTGTGTGACCTATGTAAGACCCAGACAGAATTGTAACCTGGGTCAGAGTGACTTCTCTCTCCTATTCCTTGTGAATAGGGGGAGCACATGACTATTTACCAGCGTAAACTTTGTTAGCTATATCCCTTGAAAGAGAGAATGTGTCTCAGCTTATGTTCAATACTCTGAAGTATTGCTTTTCAACCAGTATTACAGCACTTCTTAGACTCAATATAAGATAAGAGGTAACTACTTAGCTGCATGCCCATCATGGCTGTAGTAACTGAGACTTGTTGGGGTAGTAATCTCACAGTCATTTAATACATCACAGGATTTTCTGTCCCCAGGGAAATGAAATGTAATGTTAGTGAGGATATATGTGGTGAAGCTCTTAAAAATGTTATCTAGTTGGTCAACTTCTAAATGATGCAATGAAAGTATATTGCATTCTGAAGCCACTTTTTCCACTGTATATCGTTTATTTTGTTTCAGCTATGTGTACCCTGTGTTCATACTCCTTCTCTTGTTTGTGATATATGCTAATACTTAGATATTGTACTGGGTTTTTTTTCTTCTTTATCTGTTCTGATTAAAAAGAACTCATTTAAAATACAGCCTTACATGTAAACATGTCCAAGTGTTTGAATATGCATGATTCACTTTATGAAACACATCTGAAATCCAAGTCACGCTGTTGCACAAAGTAAAAAGATTCTGTTCTAGTACTGTTCATGCTGGTCCCTAATCATGTATAAAAGTACATATATGTTTAACTGTACTTACCCAGTTGGTGTCATGGAAGTTTATAGAGACTTCTTACACGTCTAAAAGCTTGCATGTAGGATTTTGTAGGATTTAATATTTTTATAGGATTTAATATTTTTCTTTGCAGACAGTCTTTTTATTAACCATGCCTTGTCTTATTACAGGAGGGGTTCAAAATGGGACTAACTCTTGAAGGCACAGTATTTTGTCTCGACCCTCTAGACAGCAGGTGCTGATGCCAAGAACAGAAGTCTGAAATTCTTATATGGTCCTTTTTTAATTCAGAGCATGTAATGACAAATATTACCCATGTGCCAAAAATTGCTTTTCAACTCTTGTGAGGTTTGCTTATGTAAAACTCCAACTTACTTTCAAGCTTTTCCTGTACAAATGTAAAAAAAAAAAAAATCACACTTGTATATGAAATATTAATTAAATTACATTGTTGTAGTTCTTTCTATCACATTTTAGCAGATATTTGCTATATCTAATGATTTAAGTTGGAGGAAGTTCTTCTAAAACCTCTTGAATACCTCTTTCCATACAATTGTTACATATTCTTTGAAATGGTGACACTTTAAAACAAATCCCCTTAAGCCACCATTTAAATTCAGTTCAATATGGTGATTATTATACAGTAATACTTTAAATAGCGAATAAAAAGTACAACATACTGGAAGTTAGTTTGTACATAACTGATAAATGTGGATGCCATGTAATTAATTCCAGTTACTGAACACAGTCACTGACTGTACTGTATGGATAATCTTCTTGTTAACCTGTTTCATTTGTCAGATTTTTAGGTCTTACATTCACATCTTTAAAAAGTGAAATATATCCATCCATTTGATTACCAGTGATAGCTAATGTGTAATGAATGCATTAAGGAGACCTATTACATATTTTATGAAAAGAAACACACTGCATACCTTTCTGGTTAAATATTTTATAGCTAAGCTAGTTGCATATACTGAATACTATTTGTAATTTGGAATTCATTACATGACAACTATATTTTGCTCTCTTAAAACTAAGGTATTGAGCCTGCAAAAATGCTCTTAGGCCAGATACAGACATTGGACTTTTATCCATATAAGTGATCAGAAACTGGTCTGTACCCATAAGAGAACAGAAGTTCAGCACACACAGACTTATTTAAAAATGGCAGAACATGGTCTATGATTTACAACATTCCCCCCTCCCCACCCGATGTGTGTTCTGTTCACTACCAATCAAAACTACACCACTTACAGAAAACCTTGTAACTTAGATCAATTCTGCTTCAGGCCTTTTGAATGTCTGTACCAAGCCTTAGGGATCTATCTAACTTTATGTATGAGCAGCCACAGTGTGTTCTCGTGGACTACTCGTGTCTAGTTATCCATGTGTCCAGGTGTTTGCAGGACTGCAACCTTTAGAGTATTTTCTCAATATTTTCTGTTACTGAAGCCAGAAGAAACTACGCAAGGAAAGTTAATAGTATAATTCCTTAAATACCTACAAGTAGCCCAGGTAAATCAGAAAATAAGAGTTGTATGGTTTGTAATCTCTCTCTCACGTGCGCACGTGCGTGCGCCAGCGCACGCGCACACACACACAGTCTGCAGCTGAGTGTTTGTGTATTACTGACTTGTCTATGCACACTTTTCACTAATCTTTAACATAAGCAATAAATGAATATTTTCTTTGTGCGTTTTTTCTTTCAGTTATGAACTTGTTTCTTAATTTTTTTTATACTTTTCCATAATTTTGCTGAGTGTATGTAATACTCAAACTCTTCACTAAGAAAATTTCCTCCCAACAAAAATCCCTTACATTTCCACTTTGAAAATACAAGTAATTAGGAAAATAAATTTTTGCCTTATTTTTTTTCTTACCCCTCCCACTTTTTGTGGCATATTATGGGTCATGAAATGTTGGGTTGACCTTATTAACTTAAGGTTTACACAGGAAAATAAATGCATTTATTCAGTATTACAGTAAGCATCTTATGCCCCAGAATGGCAAGGTACTTAAGCATATATATAACTTTCAGTACACAAGTAGCCTGATTACAGTCAATAGGACTACTCATTTCCATATAGTTTGACATGAAGTACCTTGGAGCACTGGGGCCTTAATGTTCTACATAATGTAAGTCTTCCTCTCTTATTCTTTGCTCAACATTCATATAGATATATATAAAATCACTAACCAATAGAATAGTATATGTTTCATAAAGAAAAGTCTTTATAATTTTGTTTGTCATATAGTATTTTGGAATTTGTACAATAAGGATGTTTAGCAGCCAAATGGCTTTTTATAATAAATAGAATTTGTATTTTTATTGTACTTTAAAAAGCTTTACATAATAAGCATATATTTAGTGGCCATTTACTATCAATGGTAACACAATGCTAAAATAATATTTGCACATTTTAAGGAACCTTTTTCTTTACAATTTTTATGGTAATTGACTCTGCAAATGACACTGTTAAATAGATAACTGGCTGATCCATAAAGAAAACTTAATGCAACAGTTCATTTTTAATGAAAAAGTTTAGTGATCTGGTTGAAAACTGTATTTCTATGTAATCTCAAATGTCTGTTTAATTTTGCCTAAAATAAATGTTTTTAAATAAAAGGCATTGTGTAATATAATATTCATTTGGAAGACATGGAGGGGTAGGGGGAGGAGGAGAGAACTACATCATCCCAGTAGGTTAAGGACTGCATGGAAATGGAGCCTGAATTTAGGGCTGCAGTCTATTAATATCTAACAAGCTTAACTTCACGTACTGCAAGTAGTCACATTGGGGTACTCGTCCCCTGGTGTAAACTGCAATATCTCCACTGACTTACCCTTACCATGCTCTTCTGCATGACTCATAAAAAAAAAAGTGTCCAGTGCTAAGGGAGAAATCGCATCCTGCATACCTGATAGGTCATATTGTGAAGTGCAAACGAAGTGCAAGTATTCTCTCTTCTTTCAAGTCCTGCTTTCATTCTTTGCCTGCCACCAAACAGTGCCTGTTCAGATACTCAGTGCATTCTGTCATAGTTCCATTGATTTTAGCATAGCTGTGGTACTTTACAGCAACTCTGGATTTTCCCCAGAGCCTGAAAGTTGTCTTCAAGAAGAATAGTCACAGTCTGCAAAGTTAAGAAGGTGTTTAAGTCTTGTAGGAGCTCTTAATTTTCCAGTCAATTTACGTGAAGCATTGTGGGGTATAATGCTTTACAGCTTTTGAAGAGAGGATACTTATCACCAGTGTTATCATTCTGATGATTATTGCCACATTTCAAGAGAGTTAACATAACATGTTTTCAAAAGCAGTCTGACCTCTTTTTTAATTTTAAAATCAACATACATATGTTGACCACAATGTGTTTAATCCTGCTCCAATGAAATCAATAGATTGACCATTGACTTTGCTGGGTACATTATCATCAGGGGTCTGGGCTTTCCATTTTCCACAGAAAAAGTAAACCACAGATTTTGCCTTTTACCAGAGGGAAACATGGATTTCTCATTTTAACAGAGAAACCCGCAGATTTTGCCATTTTGCAATAATTTCCCTGCAGGTTGGCAGAGTTCCAGTCTGCAGGGAGCTGGGAGGGAGCGGGAAGAAGGTGGAAAGACAGGGGACACCATGTGCACAGACACACACGTGGCCCCAGGCAGCCTTCAGAGCAGCTCGAGCAGGTAAGTGCGGGGGGAGAAGGGGATTGAGGCCCATGTAGGGAAGGACCTGAGCAAGGCTGGGGATGCTGCCCAGCTGGGTGGGGCTTGGGGCCCGGGGCCTCAATGTGCATCTACAGGGCCCTAGCAGGGAGCAGGATGGGGCCACAGCTCGCTCATCAGAGGGAGAGGGAGGGCCAGCTCCCCGCTGCCACGCACACTGCCGAGGGATAGGGGGGACCTGTGCCCCCCAGATCTGTACCTGGGGGAGGTGCTTTAGCTCCAGTAGGGCTGTGCAAAACATTCCGTTTTGCCATTTTGAAGGGACAGTGTTTCATTTTGCTGGTTTGAAGCACTGTTCAGTTTCATTTAATCAAAACAGTTTCGCTGTTTTGACACATTTCACCCATAGGCCACAATGTGGAGTCACATAAATGCCTATAACTTTGTCATTTGTTTCTTGATTCAAATAAAGACAGCAGGGATGCAGCTCCTG